CCCCCCCCCCCGGTATGGGGATCGAACTCGGGACCTTGTGCTTGTGAGGCAGGTGGTGGCACCACCACTGAGCTAACTCCTCCCTGGCCCTCTTCCTTTCTTGCACCTATATAACTTGTGTATTCAGCTACACAAGAGTACACATACGAAAACTATAGCCCATTGTCTACCTGCTGCTCGGCAAGTGTCCACCACCTCTGATTGCACCAGCAGCCCAAAATTTTAGAGTAAATTGAGTGGCTCCATCCCCCAAGTTAGGAGGTTTAGGAAAGAAAGATGATGCTGTGATAGACTCTGTGGAACAGACCATTTGCCCTCTGGTGTGTGGGGCATGGGCAGTTTGCACTTTGCCCCTGCTCTGGGTGTTCTTAAATATGCTTTTCTACTCTTGGAACCCTTGGAAGTAATTTCTCATCCTTCTCACGAGCAGTCCTGTTTCCAAAGCTCGTTTGTCCCTCCCTATCCATGGGGGTTGACTCTGTGATCCCCTCCTCCATTCATTCCACAGCTGCCCAAATCCATGGGTGCTCCCGCCACTAATAGAAAATGGCGTAACATTTGCATATAATGTATGCGCATTTTCCCGTATACTTCACACCATCTCTTGATTGTAATGCCCAGTACAAGGTTACTACTACATAAGCCATTGTTTTGCTCTATTGTTTAGACAATGATAGCAAAGAGAAAAAGTCTGCACATGTTAGGGACAGATGCAGCTTTTTTTTCCTGGACATTTCCCATCCACTCTCGATTGACTCCGCAGATGCAGACCCCATGGGCCCAGAGGGCAGATGTACACTGGCCCTGCCCCCCGCCACTCTCAGAGCTCTTAGCTGCTCACTGCTTGTGCTTTGCCCCTAGGTGCTCTGGCCTCCAAGAGCAAGAAGCCATGCATCCAGTACCTGCCCCCTGAGAAGCCCTGCGACAGCCCTGCCTCCTCCCACGGCAGCATGCTGGACTCCCCTGCCACGCCCTCTGCAGCCTTGGCCTCGCCCGCTGCCCCGGCGGCCACCCACTCAGAGCAAGCCCAGCCCCTCTCCCTCACCACCAAGCCTGAGGCCCGGGCACAGCTGGCTCTCCACTCGGCCGCCTTCCTGTCAGCGAAGGCTTCAGCCGGCTCCCCGGGCCAGCTGGGCAGCCAGCCTCCCCTGCTGTCGCGGCCACTCCCCCTGGGGTCCATGCCCGCAGCTCACCTGCTGTCGCGGCCACTCCCCCTGGGGTCCATGCCCGCAGCTCTGCTGACCTCGCCCCCTGCCTTCCCCGCCTCACTCCATGCCCACCAGGCCCTCCCTGTGCTACAAGCCCAGCCTCTGTCCTTGGTCACCAAGTCTGCCCACTAGGCTGCCCCCATCTATGCAGGCTGTCGTGTGACTCGTCGAGTAGTAATGATTCAGAAAAAGAAGAAAAAAGAGGAAACTTTATTGGTCAATATTTGACCACTCTGGACTGTTCTGTAAAGTGGCTGGTAACAACAGCACTTTACATTTTTGTAGATGTAACCAGTAGCTGATCTTTAGGCTTTTCTAAAAAAAACAAAACAACAAAAAAATCTTTACAAGAAAGAGAACTGAAGAGTAGTGTGTTCTCCCTGTGTGTGCTGTGGTGGACGAGCCTGGGCAGAAGACACCTTCTCTACCTCTCCCTCTCTCGCTCCTACCCTCCTGTCTCCTTATTAGCCGCTCCTGCCCCAGCTGCCCCCTCAGTCTGTGTGGTCGGCATGGCCTGGGGTCCCAGCCAGGTACCGCTTGACCGAGACCCATTCCTCCACATCTCTTGGGTCCTGGCCCAAGTTTTGTCAAGTGGTCACCACCGTGGGTTCTTCCCTCTTTGTCCTCTGCCCAGCGTAAGGCCACGACCATGCGCGAAGACATCTTGGCCTGATTTGTTTCCACCGCCTCCCCTCCTCCCCTCACCCTCGGGGAGGCCCTGGGTTCCATCCCCAGCACCACAAAACCCTGCCAGCTTCCAGCTTGGGGTGGGGAAAGAGGGCCTGTGAAATGGTCCCCGCCCTCCCTGCATTTAAAGGGACTCAAGATGCCTGCCACTTGCACAGTGAAGTCTGGGTTCCTTCCCCCGCCAGTTGAGATCTATACCCCACAGTTCCAGAGTGGCAGCAGGACCTGGCCCTGCAGTCTGGCTCCTGCCACCTGGCTCCGTGCTAGCACAAGCTGCCAAAGTTCCAAGACCCTCTGCCTCTCCGTCGCCTCACATGCTTCTCCTGTGTGTATTTCATTTTGTTTTTATGGTTTTTGGAGCAATTTTAACTCCCAGTTGTTTATTTTCACAAAAGAAAATAAAATTGCAGTTGCAAGACCTTCTTGTGAGCGTTTTGTTTTTTTTTGAGTTCTTTTGCTGAACCAAGCTACCAACGCCTGAGGCTAGCAGACCACCTGGGCAGTGATCACAGCCCCAAAGGCAGAATCTTTATTCACAGGTGCCTTAAGTCAGCTCACCACTGGAAGACATCCTGTGTGTGCTTTGTGGCCCCATGTGTCTTATAGTTGCCAAGATGTGAGGGGGAGCCTTCCTGTTCTTTTCATATTTATCTTGAATGACAATATTTTTTGGTAATAGCATTATTAAAATGTAATTAACTCGGGCCGGGGGTTTAGCTCAGGGGTTCTGCTGCCTGCCTCGCAAGCCCAAGGACTCAAGTTTGATCCCAGGTACACCCCCATTTAATGTTACAATTTTCCCACTTAAAACAGTGGACAGGGTGAGTGTGACGATGCAAACCTGTAAGCACTTGGGAAGCTGAGGCAGGAGGATTGAGCAAATTCAAGGCCAGCCTGGGCTACGTAGGAGACTTTGTCTCAAAAATAAAAAATAACCAAGATACAACATGTAAAGATACCAGATCCTAATGATGAATGTAACTGTATCGCATACCTAAAATGTACTAATAAACTCAATGGAAGAGAAAAAGAGAGTGGACAGGACTGAGGTGTAGCTCAATGGTAGAGTGCTTGCGTAGCCTGTAAGAGGGCCTGAGTTCAATCCCCAGCACCAAAAGGGGGAAATAAAAGTGGATACTTTCTCTTTTTTGTGGTGCTACGGATTAAACCCAACAGCTCACACCTCATGCCTCATACGGGTAGAACGCCATCCTTTGCTTTTTGTGTCTGACGTATTTCACATACATCTTTTTAAGGCTCACCTCTGTTGTCGCACGTATCAGAATCCCACTCATTCTGGATGGGCACACTTCCTCATACGTTGTGCTTTTTGCTGACTTGAGTCTCTGGGGAGTGGCTGCAAACTGACCATGCCTGCGGGGCCCCAGAGGAGGGGTCACAAACGTACGGTGTGCCTTCCTCAGGGGACTTCATCCTGGCGTGCAGTTCGATGCCTCAGTGTCTGGCCATGTGTCCTGCTCTAGAAGAGCTGTTCAAACTGACAGGCATCCATGGCTCCCATCTGACCTGGGCCCAGTTTACTCCTAACACGACAGCCTCTCTCCAGGAGCAAAAGCACAGAGCCCAGCACAGTACAAGAAAGGCCAGAAGCAGGGTTCTTATGGATCAGAGGGAAGAGGGCAGCACTCCTCACAGGGCCAATGGTGTCCTCACCCGGTCACCTGGGCCTCTACCGGTGCCCAGACGGTCGGTGAAGAACAACAGAAATGGAAGGATCCGTGGACCCAGGGCTTTATTGGGGTCCAGGGCACTATTCTAGCAGGCTTCCCTTGGGAAGTTCTACTTGGTGGGTTTCGGGTAAGCAGGCACAAGTTCATGGAGTCACACTGTGACAACTGGTCACTAGCATTTCCGGGCAGCCTAAGCAGGTGTGGCCTCAGGTCAGTTAAGTAGTTGCACACCTTATTCCCCTCCCCGCAGTACTTGGGATTGAACCTAGGGCCTTCACACCGAGCTATATCTCCAGCTTTTTCTATATTTTTTATTTTGAGGCAGAGTCTTCCTAAATTGCCAGGCTGGGCTTGAATTTGCATTCCTCCTGCCTCAGCTTCTCAGGCTTCTGGGATTACAGGTATGCTCCGCCACACCCAGCTTCTGCTTTGGATACAGCTTTTTTTTGTTGTTGTTGTTTTCCAGGGTACTGGTGATCGAACTCAGGATGTCACATATTTTTTTTTCAGCTTTAATTGGGTTTATTGGTACATTGTAGGGATACAGTACAGTTACATTCATTGTTGTGATCTTGTACCTCTACATGACAGGTCTTGGTTCTCATTTTTTCCCCTTACCCCTGCCCTCCCTTCACCCCCTCCTCCCCTCCCCATCTACAAACACTTTATTTTCATCTTTTCATTAGGATGTCACATTTGCCAGGCAGGTGCAGTGCCACTGAGCTAAATCCCAGGCCTATTGGCTACAGCTTTAAATCATGTCATTCTGCAATGAACTGTTGTTTTAAATTGCCTCACCCCCTGAACAAAGACTGACCAGTTGGATGCAAATACTATTGCCTTTCGAGGTGGCACATGCCTATGATCCCAGTAACGTGGGAGCTGCAGTTGATGGATCACAAACCTGAACCCAGCCTGGGCAACTTAGTGACTTAGTGAGACCCTGTCGCAAAATAAAAAAATAAAGGGCTAGAGATGTAGCTCAGTGCAGAGGTCCTGGATTCAGTCCCCACTACCTCAAAAAAATAAGTGAAAATTTAAAAAACAACCTGTTGGACCATCTATTGCCTGGACTTTGGTTTATTTGATTTTGTCAAGGAAATGGTCACTAAGAAGTGTTTGTGTAGAGCAGGGATCAGGTAGTTTCTACTTACCTTCCTCACCTCTTCGGCTGCAACCTGGCGTGGCTCTCAGCTCGCCCCTGAAATAACCCAGTCCTTGCTTAAGAGCTGAGGATTTAACTCAGTGGTAAAACACTTGCCTAGGATGCACAAAGCCCCGAGTTCAATCCCCAGCACTGAAGAAAAAAGTCTTTACTTCAACTCCATGCTACATTTAAGATGATTTCACTTTCCAGATACTGTCAGCTCTGTGACGATTGGGAAACCTCTGAGGATGTAGAGAAAGAAACAGTAGAAAACAAGATGACAGTGTCCCAAAGACAGGGGACTTTATTGGTGGCACTAAACGTTACAAGGATGCCTACACAGTAGAAATTATACATATGGCTTTGTATCTTGCTTTATTTTCAGTTAACTATCATATGCATATACATGTTATCAATGAGGGAGGCTACCTGTAATCCCAGCTACTTGGGAGGCTGAGGCAGGGAGATCACAAGTTTGAGGCCAGTCTGGGACGACTTAGTGAGGCCCTGACTCAAAAATTTAAAATAAATGAAAGGAGCTGGGGGATGCAGTCCAGTAGTAGAGCACTTGCCTGATATGCATAAGCCCCAGGGTCCATCTCCAATCACACACACACACACACACACACACACACACACACCAACAAAATATTCATGACAATACCTCTAGATTAAGGATATCTTTATTTTCTTAATATAAGTTAACAAATAACATGAATTGCCTTCTAATTTTTGTATAATAAATGTATTATCGTAATAATTATATATATATATATATTGGTACCGGGGATTGAA